CTCGAACTGCAGTTGCTATATGGGAGTCCAGCAGTGTAGCCATTACACCAAGTGCTGGTCCCAACCCAGCATGTTTTTGAAGTCACCAGGTCAGGAGTCAAACCATGTAGTCAGCCATATGGGATCTGGCTGCTTTTACCACCACACCACGAGCAGGTCCAGAGGTTTTACATAACCAAGAAAATTTATTTATGTTTGTTTTAGATTGCTATAAGCTATTAGCAATTTAGGACTGGTTAGTTGTCTATTTGAATGGGTTTCTTTTTTTTTTTTCTTTTTTTTTTTTTTTTTTTGGGGGGGGTTTTTCTTTTAGGGCATGTGCGTTTGCCAGACAGAAAGAGACAGAGACAGAAAGCGAGAAATCACCTCCCAGGGGTGATGGCCATGCTGCAATCCCTTCTCCTCCATTCTCCTCTCGGGATCTTGGGCACGCACGCACACACGCCCGGCGTGAGTTTAAGCCACCGGGTCCAAGACTTGAACCGTGGTCGACTACGTGGGAGTCCAGCGACTTAGCCATTACGCTAACTGCTGGTCCCTAAATGGGTTTCTTATTTACAATCCTGGAAGAGTGGTATTTACAAAGTAATTAACAGCATTGTGCTTTGAATTTGACTGTACTCCTGCAGGAAGATTCTGTAAGACCTATCTGTTCTAGTGACAAAGCCTGGAAATACAGTTAGTCACACTTAGGAAATCTGTAAACAGATGCTGCAGTTCCTCACGTATGCAGACATCTCCTTCAGAAAATTTTAACAAAGTTCAACATTTACAGTTAAAAAGCTAGGTATAATTCTTGAAACAAATTGCATTTGGGCTTATCCTACTTGTTAATACATTTAATTACAGAAATCTTATCTCTAAAAGCTATGTTCAGGGACCCGCAGTTAGCATAATGGCTATGTCACTGGACTCCCACATAGTCGACCGCAGTTCGCGTTCCGGACCCGGTGGCTTAAACACACGCCGGGCGCGTGTGCGTGCGTGCCCAAGATCCCTAGAGGAAAATGGAGGAGAAGGGATTGTGGCGTGGCCATCCCCGCTGAGGGGGGTGATTGCTTGCTTTCTGTCTCTCTCTGTCTGTCTGGCGAGCGCACGTGCCCTGTAGTAAAAACCTCTCCAAAAAATAAGAAATAAAAGCTATGTTCAAAAAAAGGAGGAAAATTGTATCTGTATTAAAGAGGGATAAAAACAAGTAGATTTTGGGAGACTAGCCAGTAGCACAAGAGTTAAGGTAGCTGGATCCCACATGGTACCACGTGGTTTGAGTCCCAAACCCAGTGACTTGACAAACAAGCTGGGCACATGTGCATGTGTGCCCAAAATCCTGAAAGGAGGGACAGATGGAGGAGAAGGGGATTGTGGCATGACCATTCCCCACAGGGGTGGTGCTTTTTCACTTTCTCTCTCTCTCTCTCTCTCTCTCTCAAGTGCATACATCCTCTGGCAAATTATTATTAAGTTCAATAATTTCAAGATGATTCTGATTCTGTTTTCCCAAATTAATATTTCATTTTAATTTTTTTTCTTAATTTTCTTCCTTGATCTTTCATAAGTTTTCTCTCGCCATGTTCTCCTTGAAGTAAAGTATCCCCAAAAAATTTTAACTCGTTTCTTAAAGCTTGTTTTTTTTTAAGGTTTTGTGGAATTCTATTTGAAAATGAAGTAAATATTTATATTATCTTAGTCTGGTACTATTCAGAGTGAGTGGTATGACTAGGCAAGTGGAAAAGAGCTAACATTAAAAATTGATCATTTAAAATTTTTCAGGTCCATTTTCTTGTAAATACATTTCCTCTTCTGGATTGAAACACTTAAGATGTCTATGGCCAATGTTTCTAATTTGCATAATAGTTTGGAAATTGTTTTGACAAGGTTGCCAACTTTGAGGTCACTGCTGAGGACACCAAGAAGTCAAAACAGTATAAGCAGAAGTACTGGAGTAACTCGACCTTCTTTAGGGCACCTATTTTAGATGAAGTATATGAAAATAGAAAAATTACTCCGTTATATCTTAGGTTCCCAGGACAGAAATCTAGTTTTTTCATGGATTCCTTTGGATTTTCTATGATGAAACCTTTTTTTTTTTTTTTTTGGGGGGGGGGGTTTTTCTTTTAGGGGCTGGTCATGATGAAACCTTTTTTTTTTTTTTTTTGGTGAGAGAGATTTTTGCTATAGGGCATGTGCACTCGTCAGACAGACAGAAAGAGACAGAGAGACAAAGTGAGAAATCACCCCCCAAGTGGATGGCCACACTGTAATCCCATCTCTCGTGATCTTGGGCACACACGCACATTCGCCCGGCGTGAGTTTAAGTCACTGGGTCCGGGACTCAAACGGCAGTCAACTACATGGAAGTTCAGTGACATAGCCATTACGCTAACTGCTGGTCCCCATTTTGTTCTTAATTAAGCTGGATCACCTCCGTACTTTCTGACCAGAATTTGTTGATGGCCCTAGGACTAGGTATAGTCTCAATATCTTTTACCCTTTTAAAAAAAAATTATTTATTTTTAATTGTATTCATTATTTTTATTTTTTAAGTCTACTATAGCATGAGTGCTTCCCAGAGAGAGACAAAGAGAGAGAAAGAAGGAAAATGAGAAAGCAAGCCACCAGCTCTAGGACTTGAACCACAGTTGACCATGTGGGAGTCCAGTGCCTTAACCACTATGCAACCTGCTGGCCCCTCTCTTTCACTCTTTTTTAAGAGAAACAAAATATTGTAGGAAGTTTATCTAATGTACCACCTGGCAGGGTCCCCTCTCACCACAGTCACTTTCCCTCAGCCCTTAAAGCCCATTCACTTGTAGGCCTATTTCAGGTCAAAGGAACAGGGGATCCAAACTATAGTCAGCCATGTGACTTCCAGCACAGCAGTCCTGCACAGTACTAGACTGCACCACAGAGGATAGGTCTCACATCTATTTTTATCCATTTAAAACACATTTGAAATACTTGTAGGCATGCTGTAAGATTGCAGAAGGGGTATAATTTTGGTTTCAAAACTTCAGAAGTATATTTCAAAGCTAGAGCATAAAACATTTTTGACTTTGTGGAATTTAAATTAGTAGTGTCAGACCAGGCATTGATACTATGTTTAAGGCACCTGGATCTTACATGGTTAGCTGTGTGATTCTAGTTCCAGACCTTGTGGCTTGAAAAAAATTGCCAGGTGCATATGTGGGTGTGCCTTGAGAGGAGAATGGAAGAGAAGGGATTGTGACCATCCCCCATTGGGGGGGGGTGATCCCTCTCTCTCTCTCTCTCTCTATCTGGTGTGTGTACACACCCTATAGCAAACTGAAAAATTGATTAGTTTATTAAATGCAAATAAAGAATTGGTAATATCTGTTTGTATAGTTATTTGGTAATGTCTATTCATGTAGGTATTTTACTAACAAAAAAAGTTTATCTGATCCAAGTTGAAAAATGACAAGTTTTAATCTATCAATGAATATAGGAAATAATTTTAATTTGATTACAAAGTTGACTTAGGTATATGTATTAGTAGTGGTGATGTGTAATGAATTATATAGAAGGTTTTTACTATTTGTATTTCAAAGTCCTAGGTACAAAGATTATTGGTTATCAGCAATTTAATTTCACTGATACCTCAGTAATAGAATATTGGCATGTTTTCACTTAACATAGTTAAATTTTTTATGAGACTTTTTTTTTCTATAGGGTGCAAGCACTCTCTGGAGAGACAGAGAGAGACAGATACAGAAAACAAGAAATCACTCTCCGCGGGGAGGGATGGCTGCGTTGCAATCCCTTCTCCATTATTCTCTTGGAATCTTGGACAGTCATGCATATGTGCCTGGCATGAGTTTTTGTTGTTGTTGTTGTTGTTTTGGTTAGAGTGAAATTTTTGCTATAGGGCATGCGTGCTCCCTGGAGAGACAGAGAGAGACAGATAGACAGAAAGTGAGAAATCACCCTTGGGAGATGGCCACATTACAATCTCTTCTCCCCCATTCTCCTCTCAAGATCTTGGGCACACGCACATGTGCCTGGCATGAGTTTCAAGCTGCCAGGTCTAGGCCTTGAACTGTGGTCAACTACTTGGGAGTCCAGCAATGTAACCATTATACCATTTACTGGCCCTTCAGCATGAGTTTTAAGCCACCGGGTCTGGGACTTGAACAGTGGTCAACTACATGGGAGTCCAGTGACATAACCAATATGCCATCTGCTGGCCTCAACATAGTTACTTTTGAAGCTTTTTGTACTTACTAGTTAAAGAGGAGGAGGGAAAAGATCAATAGTATAACTTAATAATAATATTGATAAATGTTTTTTCCTGTTAGTAAATTTGCTTTCGTGGATTCAACTCATTTTGTTTCTCTTTGATAGATAACAAAATAGAAGCAAATATCTAGAAGCAAATTAGCATATGGAAGCAAGATACAGAAGCAAATTAAAGCTCACATTTTTATATATATTAAGATTTATTTAATTTTACTTATTTTTTAATTCGACCAGAGAGAGCGAGAGAAAGCTGCCAGGTCCAGGACTCGAACCACAGTCAGCCATGTGGGATTCCAGCACCCCAACCACTATGTCACCTGCCAGCCCTCGTTTTATTTTTTTAAGTCTTTCTTTTTTTTTTTTTTTTTTTTGAGAGGTTTTTGCTATAGGGCGCATGTGCTTGCCAGAAAGACAGAGAGATAGAAAGTGAGAAATCATCCCCCAAGGGGGATGACCATGCTGCAATCCCTTCTCCTCCATCCTTCTCTCGGGATTTTTTTTAAAATCCCTTCTCCATTCTTCTCTCGGGATTTTTTTTAGGTATGCACGCATACAAGTCCAGTGTAAATTTAGCACTGGATCCGGGACTCAAACCATGGTCGGCTACATGGGAGTCTAGCGACACATATTCTTTACACCAATTGCTAGTCCCTTTTTAAGTCATTTTTGCATCATAATTGACAAATAATAGATTTATACTTTGTGAGAAATATTTTATGCCATTTTCTTAATCATTGTGTATTTTTGTGTATATGTTTGTGCAGCTTGCACCTTCACTTCCTTTACAAGAAGATTTTGTTTATCACTGGAAGGCTATTACCCATTACTACATAGAGACTTCAGGTAAGGAGCAATGCTGATATTAATTAAAGAGAAAAATTTGTGAAGCACTAAAATATATTTCAAAAAAGTTTTCAGTTATTTCCTATTTCAGTTAATAAATAATTTATCTCTAATTCATCTTCAAGATTCACTCATTCATTTAAAAATGTATCTGTTGAGCATCTACTGTATGTCAGCCGTTGTTCTAGACACGGGGAGATAATTAGGCAAATCCCTATTCTAATAGAAATTATATATTGGTTGGGGGAGAAAAATAATAAATAGACATATATATAGTGTGTCAGATAATAAGTATGAAGGGAAGAATGAAGCTGGCTAAGGTGGGTAGAAATGTGGGCAGTTGGCTATTTTAGATTAGAAGAGCCCTCCTTGTCCAAAGTGACTTCTGAGCTGAAATCTGAAGAAGAGAGGAGCAAGCCTGGTAGATATCCATGAGCAAAGAGTGCACAAACCCTGGAGCTAGAGCGAGCAACCTACTGGACTTATCTCAGGAATTGCAAATGCAATGTGCCTAAAGCAAAGCGAATAGGGGTAGGAGGTGAAATCAGAAGTGGAGGTGTGGGATGGGTGGTGGTCCAAATGCACCTGAGGCCTTGTAAACTATTGTAAGGGCTTTGGCTTTTACTCCGGAGTGGGAAAACTTTGAAAAGTTTTGTGTAGAACTGTAACTATAAAGTCTGCAATTATAAGGGGAAAATATTTTTAAAAAGTAAATTACAAGTAAATTTATAAATTACCTTTTTTCTTTAATTACTAGAGGGTACATCTGCTTACCAGAGACCGAGAAGAAGAAAACACCAAGGCGTGGTCACACCACAGTCCCTTTTTCCTCCATTTCCCTATCCTGTCTGGATTTTAGACATACACACACATAAGCACCCAGCATGGTTTTCAAGCTTTCAGAGCCAGGATTCGAACTATGGTTGACCTTGTAGTATCTGGCTCCCTTAACCACTAGGCTATAGGGATGGCTCTAAATGATCTTCTTCACGTACTAGGGTAGTAATTTTAGGAGAATTTGAAAGGAGAAAAAAATAAGTTAACTTTCCTTGAATTCTTAGTATGTGCTAAGGCACTGCTAGACTTTACATGTATTTCATTTAAATCATACATCAGCGATTACTGGTGCTTATTCAATTTATAGATATCGCTGACTGAGGCTTAAATATCAATAATTCATGCCAGGTCATCCAGTTCAAAGTGACAGAGCCAGATTTAAATCAAAGTTGTCTAAATTCAGGGCCTATCTTTTAACAACTGCCCCATCTGTATCAAATTAGATGCATACATCCTCCTGGAAAACAAGAGTGACCCTTCCTTTTCATCATTTTTTTCACAAGGCTTAATATTATGGTTTACTATGTGTATACAAAAATGTGCATAACACAACTTATCGATAAATAGCATACCAGGCTTGTGTTGTACAGGCCATAGAAGTACTAAATAAATAATAGTAGAGATATAAGAACTTGGCATTTCCAAATATATTTTATATTTAAATGCTCTATAAAACCTTACATTTTATTAAGAGTAATTTAGCATTTGTATAATAAGGATAGGTAGTTAAAACCATGTGGGGTTTTTGTAGTACAACTGTGATGTTAAAAATACCAATTTTTTATTTTAAAAAGTCAATATTTAATAACAATTCTCCCAAGACACAGCTTTAAAAAACAGACTTCAGGAATAGTTATATGATAATGAGAGATGTCAGAGATTTTATTGGAGGGTTTTTCCTTTGGTTCCTTTTTTTTAAGTTTTTGCCATAGGGTGTGTACATTTCCCAGAAAGAGGCAGAGAGAGACAGTGAGATGAAAAGTGAGAAACTACCCTCTTCCTGGTAGGGAGGAGGTGGCCAGACCACAATCCCTTCTCCTCCATTCTCGTGGGATTTGGGGCACACGTGCACATGCACTTGGCATGATTTTCAATCTGCTGGGTCCGGGGCTCTAAGCTGCACTTGGCCATGTGGGTGCCCAGTGCCTTAACCACCACCCTGCTTGCTGGCCCTGGCTCCTCATAGTTTTATAGATGGAAATATATTAGGAACTTGAAACAACTGACGTCCCAGTGTTATAAAGCAAAGTAGTAGCAGTTGAAAACAGCATCTGTCTACCTCACACATCTAGGTTATTCAGTTTTATGTTCAAAGCCAACCTGTCTCTGTACAAACAGACTTAAAATTCAGTTCTTCTGAAGTAACTAAGTGAAAAAAAATTTAATTACATCTAAACGGTTGATGTTGTGTGTATTTTTCCTTATCATGTTCCTATTTCCTGCATAAATGGCTCTTATTTCTAAATTTTGGGCCAGCCAGTGGCATGGTGTACGGCTGCTGGATCCCACCTGACCAACTGTGCATTTTGAGTCCAGATTTGGTGGCTTGAAAAACCCACCTGATGCATATATATGTGTGCCCAGAATCTTGAAAGGAAGGAGAATTGGAGGAGAAAGAATTGCAGCATGACATCCCCTATGGGAGTGCTTTGTCAGAGTCTCTCTCTGTTTCTGTCTCTCCAGTGAGCACACATGTACTCTGACAAACTTTTTTCTAAATCTAAAGTGTTGTTAATTAATAGTACCTTATAGGATATATTTCAGAATATCATTTCAGCTTTTGAATAAAAATATGTAAAAGCATCATCTGAATCTAGTAAAGATAATTATATGATGTGCATAAACCTTAAGTGTATAGTTCAGAATTTTCTCAGTTTGAATAGAAACAAGGGTACTCATTTAAAGAATATTTTAGGTACAAGTACGCAGTTTACAATGTTCAAATATTTGTTTATTGTCTAGATGATAAGGCCCCAGTGACTGATACAAACATCCCATCCCATCTGGAACAGATGTTAGATATATTGGTTCAAGAAGAAAACGAGCGAGAATCTGGAGAGACGGGGCCGTGTATGGAATATTTGCTCCATCACAAGATCTTAGAAACATTATATACCTTAGGAAAGGCTGACGTAAGTTCCTAATAACATTTTGGGGATGTTAATACATGCATTAATGTCTTAAAGATAAAGAAACTATCAAGTACTCAGTTGTAGAGGTATAAAATGATCTTGGCAAGATTTAGATTAAGATAATAGAAAAAAGAAAATTGTGTAGCCCATACAAATTTAATGCTCATATATATATATATATATATATGTATGTGTATATACATATGTATGTGTATATATATGTACGTATGTATGTGTATATATATGTATGTATATATACATACACAAACACATACATATACATACATACAGAGCAAGAGAGAGAGAGAGCGTGAGTGCAAAACTCCCAAATGCACTAAACAACTATTGCTACTTATGCTGCTTAGAATTCCATTGTAAAATAAAACTCAAGTCCACATGCTCAAAATCATTAGATTCTGGCTGGAAGTAAGCTATTACAGTTTCACATTACCTTAGAATTTAGAATATAACAGCCTGAACCAGACTCTAATCTCAACAACCTAGTATCACTGTGGTCTTTGTAATTACTTGAGCCTGTGGTCTTCTAGGCTAGCGTATGGTCTTATGTGTACTTTTATTTCTAGAATACCAGTCATTAATATTTGGTTGAAAATTCTATTTTGACAAAGTCATTAGCTGGCCGATTACATTGTCTTTTGAGGATGGAATACAATCACGTACATGGTCTCTCTTCTTTTTTATGCTTTTGAGTAAGTGTGTTTGTCTTGTCTGTTCTTTCTTATTTGCTTTCCTTTTTTTCCTGTACCCAGTGTCCTCCAGGAATGAAGCAGCAGGTTTTGGTGTTCTACACTAAACTTCTGGGAAGAATCCGGCAGCCACTGCTTCCGCACATCAATGTGCACAGGCCAGTGCAGGTACTCTGTTTCCCTTCTGTAAACTTATCTTGTTTGATTTCTACTAGTATAGAAATTATTTTATATGATTTTTTCCCCAAGAATAGAAATAACAAAGGAAGTTTTTTTTTTTTTGAGAGAGAGGTTTTTGCTATAGGGTGCGCGCACTTGCCAGACAGACAGAGAGAGAGAGACAGAGAGATAGAAAGCGAAATATCACCCCCCAGAGGGGATGGCTATGCCGCAATCCCTTCTCTTGCATTCTCCTCTTGGGATCTTGGGCATGCACACACATGCACTTGGCGTTAGTTTAAGCCACTGGGTCCGGGACTCGAACTGTAGTCGACTACGTGGGAGTCCAGTGACATAGCCATTACACTAACTGCTGGTCCCCAAAGGAAATCTGTTTTTAAATAACATGCAAACTAGCAAATTCTTGACCTTTCTTTATACATAATATAAAGTGCACTTCACATCTTTATAGTTCTCTTTTTAAATTTTATAAATTTTACTTTACCTTCATGATATTTCAAGGAGAATTTATCTACTTTAATATTTTTAAGGTTCATGAGCTTGAAGTTGACTATTAATAAATTTATTTTGATAAAAGTGATTATAAATGTTGTTAGTGTTCTGATTAATGCAAGATATTTGTATTATTTTACAACTTAATTATCCTTAAGGTAAATGAATGGTTGTTTATACACTCATAAAAAATAATTAAGTTTAAAAGTTAAAATAGAAATTTTTTTGACAGAAATTAATTCGACTCTGTGGTGAAGTCCTTGCCACACCAACAGAAAACGAAGAGATTCAGTTTCTGTGTATCGTGTGTGCCAAGCTGAAACAGGACCCTTACTTGGTTAATTTTTTTCTGGAGGTATGGTACACTTCTTATTAACCTTCAACCTATACTATGTTAAGATCGTTAGAAAAATTGAATTCTATGAATAACAGTAGAATGAATTACATTTTGGGGGTTGTCAGGTAGTTAGACTTCTAAGAATTACTTTTTATGTTGCATTCTCTGGGAAAAAAGATTTTCAAAGAATGCAGTTGAACCAGACATATGAGGCAGTACAGGCACCAATCTGTACAAAGCCACCGCTTACAGAGAGTCCAGTGTGAAGGGAACTTGGGTACAGATGTCATAGATGTTCATAAGTTACTGTATTGTCAACTAAGCTTGCTCTAGTACAGAACATGGGCAGTCTCGGTTGGGGTAAGGATGGCATGTGCACACTCGGGCAAGGTGGGAGAAATCTCGAGTTACCTCTCCAACCTCATAGAGGAGTTAGAGTTAGTCTAGTATTTTGTACTGTCCTTTTTATAGCCGTAATCACTGAATCATAGTTTACTTAAATCAATTGATAATTTGTATTTTACTTTAAGTTTTAAAGAAGAAAGTAATTTTTATGTATATCCTGCTTTCATTGACTTCTTTTTCTCAGCAATGAAATTATTTAGGAATATGTATTAGGATGATTATGTCATTTTATCTTTCAGTTTTAAAAAAAATATTTTTTTCCTTTTTAGAAATCCTTTTTTTCCCTTTGTGGTTTAGGTTAAGGTGTAAGTCACATGCAATACAATGAACTCTTTGCAGTACCCAGGTGTATGATTTTGACAGATACATGTGTAACCACCATGACAGTGTCCTCACCCTATCCCATGGCTTTGCTCACCCATACCCTCTAGCAGTCACTGGTTTTCTTTGCTCAGCTTAATGCTTTGGAGATTCATTCGTGATTTTGTTCCTTTATATTGCTGAGTAGTATTCTACTGTACGTAGATACTATGGTTGTTTTTCCAACCAGCTGAGTGCGTTCTCAGCATGGGGATCTGTAGGGGTGCCCCTGTCTTTCTCTATCTCCCTCTCTTAGAAGAAATTTGCAGATATATGTATGTTAATGGTGCGAAGCACTTTATGTACTGGCTTTCAGAAAAACATGTACATTTAAACCTCACTACAGAGGACACCCTTCAGCGTTAGTGACATGTCTGCCACAGGCAGCTTTGTTATAGCACATATTTCTCCAAATAGCTAGCTCCATTTTCTGAAATTGGTAAGGATTATTCACATGCTTTTAATGTCAGTTATTACAGTATTAAAGTTATTTATGTATATTTTATTTCTCCTGCTGGTCAAAATGCTCTAGAGGACAAATACTCTGTCTCGTTAATTTTTGGATCCTCACAGCTTCTAGCACAATACGTAATAACTGCTTAATTAACATTTATTAAAGGAGTGAATCTTTAGGGAGTATAATTTTATTGCTTGCAAGTATAGATAGTAACAAAAGTACTTTACAGTTCTCAAGCATATATCCCCAGAAATCTAATTTCCCTCTTCATTTATATTAACCAATGTATGCATCTTTTGTGGATTAAGTACATCTGGTAGATGAGTTAGAAAAGTCTTTACCCTAAAGAAGCGTATAGTGTGGTGAAGAGAGTAAAATGAATGTTCAGATACTGTGATACTAGGTCAAAACTAAGGTGAGTATCATGAGAAAAATACAAAGTAAATGCCTAAGTGTTCATAGAATGAAGAGATTACATCTCTTCTAGGTCATCAGGAAAGACTTCATGGAAGAGGTCATCTTTGAAAAGTCTTCACAGATCTTTAGAAAAGAATGAGGAGGACCAGCAGTTAGCATAATGTCTATGTCACTGGACTCCCACGTAGTCGACTGCAGTTTGAGTTCCGGACCCGGCGGCTTAAACTCAGGCTGGGCGCGTGTGCATGCATGTCCAAGATCTGGAAAGGAGAATGGAGGAGAAAGGAATGCAGCATGGCCATCCCCCCGGGGGTGATTTCTTGCTTTCTGTCTCTCTGTCTCTCTCCGTCTTTCTGGCGAGTGCATGTGTCCTATAGCCAAAAAAAAAAAAAAAAAAAAAAAAAAAAAAAAAAAAGGAGGAGGCATACAA